AATTAAAAGCACGGGCTGGTGTAAAGGTTTGATGGTCATGAGCTGGAGGCCAAGGAGTATTGGGGAGGGGGAATTGTAAAGCCCCTGCAGCAGGTGTTTCGGGGTTAGCTTCAGTTCAGTAAACCCTGCTGGCTTGTCTCTGCTTTGAACAGTGCGTGTCCAAGAGCCGGGGTCGCCTGTTGCCCCTGGGCGCGGGGTCTTACAGACTGGCCGGCCAGAGACGGGAGCTAGCGCCGACCCCGCGGGCACGGGCCGGCCTCTGGCCTGCTTGCTGGGCCGCTTCAAAACTTTGCCGTGCGAGCCCAGGCTCGGGAGGAGGGGGGTGCGCGACACCCAGGGCTCTGCGGCCCAGGCGGCCGGCCCGCCCGGGCTCCCCGCGCTGGGGCTCGTCTCGGGCCGGCACCCAGCGCTCTGCTCTCCCCTCCTTCTCTCCGGCAGGATCTACACGGGCTGCGACATGGACCGGCTCACGCCCTCCCCCAACGACTCGCCCCGCTCGCAGATCGTGCCCGGGGCCCGCTACGCCATGGCGGGCTCCTTCCTGCAGGACCAGTTCGTGAGCAACTACGCCAAGTCCCGCTTCCACCCGGGCGCGGGCGCCGGCCCCGGGCCGGGCACGGACCGCAGCGTGCCGCACACCAACGGGCTGCTGTCGCCGCAGCAGGGCGAAGACCCGGGCGCGCCGTCCCCGCAGCGCTGGTTCGTCACCCCGGCCAACAACCGCCTCGACTTCGCCGCCTCCGCCTACGACACGGCCACCGACTTCGCCGGCAACGCGGCCACGCTGCTGTCCTACGCGGCCGCCGGCGTGAAGGCGCTGCCGCTGCAGGCGGCGGGCTGCACGGGGCGGCCGCTGGGCTACTACGCCGACCCGTCGGGCTGGGGCGCCCGCAGCCCGCCGCAGTACTGCAGCAAGTCCAGCTCCGTGCTGTCGTGCTGGCCCAACAGCGCGGCCGCCGCCCGCATGGCCAGCGGCAACCCCTACCTCGGGGAGGAGGCGGAGAGCCTGGCCCCCGAGCGCTCCCCGCTGCCGGGCGCCGAGGACTCCAAGCCCAAAGATTTGTCTGACTCCAGCTGGATCGAGACCCCGTCCTCCATTAAGTCCATCGACTCCAGCGACTCTGGGATATACGAGCAGGCCAAGCGGAGGCGGATCTCGCCGTCGGACACGCCGGTGTCCGAGAGCTCCTCGCCCCTCAAGAGCGAAGTGCTGAGCCAGAGGGACTGTGAAAAGAACTGCGCCAAGGACATCGGCTACTACGGCTTCTACTCGCACAGCTAGAGCCGCCCGGGCCCTCGGGCCCCGCCGGCGACCGTCGCCGGGCCTTTTGCACAGCGACCTCGGCAGTCAGCGCACTGAGCTCCACCTTTTCACCCGAGCTGCGATGTCCCCGCGGGCCCCCGCCTGCCGGGGCCCCGGCGCTGAGACCGCGACCGCGACCGCGCCGCGGACTGTCCCAGCCTCCTCGGCCCACGTTAGACTCTCAAACACTCAGCGCTTCCTTCCTTTGCCCCTGGCTGGATAGTAGGGGGTGGTAGTGATAGTGGGACAGAGCCTGTGAGACGCCTGTACATAGTGTTTAATTCCCTGTGCCGGATGGTTCTGCTCTCTCCGTTCCCATCGTGAAGTCACAAAACTAGCTCTCGTTTAACTTTCTCCGTCCCTCCCCTCCCCTCCCCTCCTCCAGGTTCTCTCTCTCCGACATGCCTCTGGAAAGATGAAATGGCCCAGAGCTGTAGCAGCGAGTAATGGGTTTCTCACTTCCCTGCAATCCCGCGCATGAAATAATTACTCTGTGCCCTGGGCTAACACAGCTAAGGAGTAGCTGTGCTTCCCCCTCAAAAGAGGAGAGCTCCATCTTGTAGGAAAGTCGATTAAGTAGCATGACGCCTTCAAACAGCAAAATTAACTGCATCTGTATCTCTTCCCCCCCTTCTTTTAAAAGGAACAGCTCGATATCAGCAATATTATTATTATTATTATTATTATTATTATTATTTATTTTTTTTTTGTGCATA